GTGGGAGCTCTGTTTCCTTGCTTTTATGTCTTATTTTTCTGTCTTTGCTGTTGCAGTGTTAGCTCACATCCTACTTCCTCCATCCATGGTTCATTCTTCTTCACCATGGGATATGACCCTGGCATTCTGGTAGCTGTCATAGACTAGAGCTGGTTCTGATGCCAATTTGAATATGCCAGGGTTCTCCTCCCTCTTCCAGTCCTGCACTGGAATGCTTGGTGACTCTCATGCCCTAACCCTGCAACAAGCAGGTCCTTAGAGGCAGACCCTGACTTCTGGAGTTCTACTCCTGATGGAGTCACCATAGTTCTGAGACCTGGCCTCCTGGATACAGAAACTTTATCAGTTAATTCACTAGTGGATAAATAGATTGGGAAGAGTAAGTCATTCTGATTCAATTGACATGTAATTAAGTGACAAACCCAAATATTAATTTTTTCTTTCTTCCCTTTTTTTTTTTTTTTTTTTTTTTTGAGACAGGGCCTCACTATGCAGTTCAGGCTGGTCTTGAACTCAATATATAGCCCAGTTTAGCCTAAAACTTGCAGTGATTCTCCTGCCTCAGCCTCCTGAGTGCTGAGATTACAAGCATGTGCCACCAAGCCAGACTATAATACTAATTTCTTGATTTATACTGAGAAATTAAACTTCTAAGAGAGCTACAATGTTAGATGTCCACATGAATACACTGGAAGAATAGATTCCATTTGAACAAAGTCAGAAGATGACCCAAAGCAGGATACTTAGAAATACTTTATCCCCTAGACAGAACTAATGTAACTCTTATGTATTTCATCTCTTGACTGTTCTTTTTCTTTCTCCATAATTATGACATTTTGTTGAATGGGTCACAATTTCACCAGATTATCGTTCATTACAGTTTTCCTTCCCTCTAGGAAATTTAGAAAACATCATAAATGCACATACAGCACATTTTATAATCATCTCATCTCCAGGGAAGATTTTACAAAGCTCTTTACTAAAGCAAATCTCATACATAAAGCTAGAAGGGTATTCCTGTTGTATCCCTACCCAGCTTCAACAGTTATCAACATTCCACTGGTTTGGGAATTTTTCTAAAAATCTGCCCTCTCCTCCCCTAACACACACATAAGTGCCATGTCCCCAACAGCATATTTTAAACCAAATTTCTAAATCTTATCTTTAAATCTCACCGCTAAATGTAGACATCATCCTCTGTCTGGAATGTATGCATACTCCATGGAGTGAGTACAAATATTCTCATCTTAAAGCCTGCATCTCATGAGGTTGAGAGGAAATCCTGGATGTGAATAAGTTGTAGTCCAGTTCTTCTGGGGGAGAGGCTCAAGACCAAGTGCTGGTTCCCATGTTAGACCCGTGGACATGGGGGCACTTGGGGGTGAGGCCCAGAGCCTGTGTATTTCAGACGTACACAAGGATTTTGGGCATGGAGGTCTGCACTGAGAAGTCACTGCTGGAAGTTGCTGTCCAGGTAGCATCAGAGCTGTTCTTTTCTGTGCTGTTCTTTTCTGCTGGGACCTGGTCAGCTGTGACTAGAGGGCTGAAGACAGTGACCCCCAAGTTCCCCTGTGGCCCCTGAGAAGGGAGGGGTAGTCATACCTGTTTTGTGGACCCCTCCTTTGGGTCCTGGGGTTGAGCTGGTGGTGGACCTGAAGGGAACAGCAAAGCTTAGACATGAAGGGTGGGAGGGAAAGAAAGGATGGGCCTGGAGGGGGAGGGGCATCAGCCCCTGAGCCTACCTGTGTGGCTTTGAAGTTGGCAAATGAAAGAATCACCCAGATGCATGGCTGATAGTGCATTAGAGCGTCCCTTGTCCTACAGTTGTGCACCCTGGATCATGGGCTATGACTCCATGGAGAAATAGGCAGCTGAAAGGGCGGTAGACCCCCCTTTCAGTCTGTGGCCCGGCACGGTGGCTCAAGCCTGTAATCCCAGCTACCTGTCAGGCTGAGGCAGGTGGATTTCTCCAAGTTCGAGGTCAGCCTCAATAACATACTGAGTTCAAGGCTAGCTTGAACTACATAGTGGATGCTGTCTCAGAAAAACCAAAACAAACAAAAAACCATAACCACAATAACAAAAGGCAGCTGTGTGCGAACAGCGTGTTGCTGGAGGGTGTTTGACTCCTTTTTCTCTTTCCTTTCGCCCCTGGACAGTGCTAAACGGAACTGAACCTGGGACTTCTGGGAAGCAGAAGCTGTAGAAATCCCACCATTCATTCTTTTCCTCCCCATGTTATAGTCTGAGAAACAGCTTATAACTGCGGTGCTGTAGCATATTCCAGGACAAGACTCCTTCTACTCTTTCTCTGCCATTCAGGTGAAGACCTCCCACCACATCCTTTCTCGTCATGACTCCCTTGTTTGCTTGCCTCTCTCAAACCCCAGGCTCCATTCCTTTTCTTTCTTTCTTTTTTTTTGGTACCGGGAATTGAACTCATGACCTTGCGTTTGCCAGGCAGGTGCTGTGCGGTGCTCCATTCCTTTTCTTTGACATGTTCCTCATTAATTAATGAGGCGTCTCCCTATTGCAACAGTCAGAACAAAATCATCTGGGACATTCGCTTTCCATACTCTTCTCTTTTAAGCAACTTTTCTTCTATCATGAAGAATATTATAGTGAGAGATCTGCTGACAATAATCTCTCAGAAATGTAAGGGGACAGGTCATACAACAAAAATAAACTCAGGTTGCCTTTGAGCACACAGTATACTTAAAATGAGGGCTGGGAGCTGGGCATGGACATACCCTTGTAATTCCAATTACTCTGGAGGCTGAGTCAGGAGGATTGCAAATTCAAGGTCAGCCTGGGTGCCTCAGTGTGGTCCAGTCTCAAAAAAATAATCAATTTATTTATATAAATAAATAAATTTAATATACAAATGAATTGATTTGGTTAATATTTAATTGATATAAATAAATTAATTTAACCAATAATTAATCAAAATTAAAAGGGCTGGGCATGTACATAACTGGATGCTGTGTCAAAAAAACCGAAACAAACAAAAAACCATAACAACAACAACAAAAGGCGGCTGTGTGGAGCATCCCTGGATTCTATTCTCATTACCTCAAAGAAGAGAAAAAGCGGGACTGGAGGTGTAGCTCAATGGCAGAGTACTTGTCTAGTGTGCAGGAAGCCTTACCTTTGATTCTCAGCAATGCAAAAAAATAAAGGTTAAAATGGTAGCTTTTTTAACCACAATAAAAAACAAACCGACTGACAGAGAAATACCATGGAAATAATTCTTTGAAACGCTTAGAATCCCTGCTACATACTAGTGATGGGTTAGGAGTCAGGTCTGGTATAGGAAATGAGTAAGGCCTGCTTCCTGTGGTCCAGGAGCTCCCAGCCTCCACGAGGAGACAAATGCATAGTCTGTTAATTGAGCTACACAATTCCAGTGACACATATACTAGACATGTGCACAGCCTGATTTGAGTCAGGTTGTGAAAGGCCCTGAATGCTTCACTAAGGAGACTGACTTTTATCCTAGGGTAATTCGGGCCCATGAATGGCTTTAAAGCCGGAGTATGCATGCATGAATAGATTTACTGTAATTCTTCATGTCCTATCACCATACATCTGCTTCGGGTAGCCTGAGTAAAAGATTAATGGGTTCAATTGCTTTAAAATATGCTCATATTATGTTTCTCTTATCAAATATACGTATGCTCAGAAAACAAAGAATTGATGCACGCATGTGCACATGTGTGTGCGTGTGGGGGTGTAGTGTGATGTACTGGGGATTGAACCAGGGGCCTGTGCATGCTAAGAAAGCATTTTGTCACGGAGATACAGGAGATACACGCCCAGCCCAACATAGTTGACTTCGGTTAAGTCTGTATAGAAGCCATCGACACAGATCTGACGAGAGTTGAGAGTTGTATAAGGGATGTGTGTGGAGCACATTCAGAGCTAAGACTGGCGCAGACTTGGCCTGAGGGCGTCGTGGAAAACCTCCAGGAGGAAGTGGGCTGCAGGAAAAAAGAGGAATTGAGGAAGCTAGGCAGGAAGCTGGAAATTGAGAGTGAAGCTGAGGGCAGGCCCGGATGGCAGAGAGCTTTTGCGTGCCAAGTCGAGGACTTGAATCTCTTCCTTGAAGATGACAGCAAGCCGTCAAAGGCCCTTTAATAACAATGATGAGGATGGAATGTGTTTACCACATACCCGGGGCTCAGCTAAGGGTTTACCGATATTATCTCCTTTACCCCTGACACGTACCACGGTTAGATAGTTTAGATCACATTGGTGACCTTGTGAGAACAGTAACCCAGACCAGTCTGAAGGGAGGCACAAGCTGTGGTGGCTCAGGAGAAATAGGAAAGGAGGGATGAGAAAGAAGGGATCGAGGTGATGCTGAATTATTTGTGTGCTTTCAATTCTTTCACGTTTGTGGTTTGTTTCATGACCCCAAATTTCTGGGCATACATTTTATTTGTACTTAAAAAGAATGTCTTCTGCTGTTGTTGAGTGGAGTTATAAATGTCATCAGGTCACGTTGGTTGATAGTACTGCTCAAGTCTTTCACAAATTTGACTTTTTAGCCGGGTGTGGTGGTGCACACCTGTAATCCCAGCACTTGGGAGGCTGAGGCAGGAGGATCGTTGCAAGTTCCAGACCAGCCTGGGCTACAAAGTGAGTTCAAGGCCAGCCTGAACTGCATAGCGAGACCTTGTCTCAAAAAGACAATAAATAAATAAATTTGACTTTTTCCCCAGCTACTTTAATTCTGGATGTCTATTTATCCTTTCAGTTCTGTATCCTCTGATAAATTCCTTACAGTCAGGAAGGTACTAGGGCACAGACCATAAAATATTTGTTTGGAATAGCAAGAAAGATTTTATCTCTTTAAATTTAAAAATCACCACTAACTCGGCAGGCCTAGTAAAGCGCAGGTCAAATGCAAATAAGGGAGTCAGGACATTCGGCCAGGCCCCTTTCCTGGGTTGGCACGGCAACTGATACGAAAGACAGCCAATCGGTGAGATACTCACCTGTGGGGGCGGGTCCTCAACAAGAGCCAATGGGACGAAGGGAAGAGGATCCTACGGGCCAATGGATTGGGCGAGGGGGCGGGCCTCTGATGAAGGGACGGCGGTGGGAAAGATGGCGGTGGCTCTGCGCTTCTCTGGCTGGTGGCAGCGCTGGCGGCGGCGTTGGTCTGCTAGGGAAGGGTCCAGGATGTTGTTCCTTCTCCTTTTGTTGGGGTCTGGGCAGGGGCCGCGTCAAGTCGGGGCGGGTCAGGCGTTCGAGTACTTGAAACGGGAGCACTCGCTGTCGAAGCCCTACCAGGGTGAGGCGCCCGGGGCAAGGTGGTCGTATGGGGCGGGTGGGGGGGGAGGCGTTGCTCGGCAACCTGCGCACCTTGTTGGAGGTAGCGGCCCCCCAGGACTTCTCGGCCCAGAGAAAACGGCCGGAGGCGGATAGGGACCCACTTTTGAGTACCCCAGGACGGAAGGGCAGGGGTCCACCCCCTACCTTTCTCGAGTCCTGGAAGTTCCCAATAGTTCGAGGCAGTTCCCAATTAGTCCGATGTCACCAGCAATCGGAGCGGCCGTGGGAGCTCGGAGTGGACGGGAGCCGTGTGGGAAGGAGTGGGAACAGTGGGGAGTGACTAGGAGCCTGCAGCCCAGAGCCAGGATCGCGATGGAGTTGTGAGTGTGCCAGAAATAAAACCGGAGGAGGAACCGGGGTAGAAGTTGACCAGACTGAGAAAGAAGACAAAATTCTTTTGCTGGTTACAGTACTACTGTTCTCCTGACCAGGATCCGTAGTGATAAAAACGGCCGCTTAGCTTTGCTGTGTTTATTGGTCATAGGACCCTAATATGTCTAGCTTATCGACCAGAAGATAGGTATGGGTAAATAAAAGGATTGCAAATCAGTGCGATAGCTAACAAGTAATTTCCCCCACTGAAGTGCGGATACCAGAACAGGAAGCAAAAAGCATACACCACTACTGCTAATGTATCATTTATTCACCCAGCAGCTACATCGCCTCCCAAGTGCTGGTCGTCCAGCAGGTCATACAGAAACTAAGTTTCCACTCTAGGAGGTTATAGTCTGGAGATGGGAAGAAGTGGTTTAAAGGATTAATTTAAGAATTAAGCCCACAGGCCAGAGGGCCAAGCTTTTTTGCTATTACAGAGAATTTTTTTTTTTTTCTTTCATAGTGCTAAAGTGCACTCATAAAATGAGAGTAGATCTAAGTTGTTGTTACTATGGCATGCATGAGGTGATAGCTCTGCTGTACTGTGGGGTCTTCATCTGACATGGGTCTTGTGAAGAGAAGCTGTAAAGATGGGACGGACTTAAGATTTATGTGTCCTGTGGTGGTATATTTCCATAATCCTAGCACTCAGGAGGCTGAGGCAGGAGGATCACCACAAGTTCGAGGATAGCCTAGATTACATAGCAAGACCCTGTCTCCAAAAAACAAAACAAAAAGATTGATGTGTAGCCAAGCACATGCATGTGATTGTAGTTTCGGCTACTTGGGAGACTGAGGCCGGAGGAACATTTGAGCCCAGGGGTTCGAGGCCACCCTGGACAACATGAGACTCCTTTTAAAAACAAAAAAAGTGTGACAGAAGGTGGGAGACCGAATTGAGTGACATGAAAGGGAAAAAAAGATAAATGGCTTCAACGCATGGAGGATCTATGGTAGATCTTTGAACGGGTTAGTGTTGAAGAATATGAACTGATCCACTTCCTCCCCATAGGTGTGGGCACGGGCAGCTCCTCACTGTGGAATCTGATGGGCAATGCCATGGTGATGACCCAGTACATCCGCCTCACTCCAGATATGCAGAGTAAACAGGGTGCCTTGTGGAACCGGGTGGTAAGAAGGGTTTTTTACCTCCTGTGTTGTTGACAGCACAGATTGTTCTAAAAAAGTTCAGCAGTGGCATATCAATGACTTTTATTGTCTATTTTTAGTATTTTTAAAATAGCTACCAGGGAAATTATGGTAACTTAGCTAATAGAGAAGTCAGATACTTAGGGAAATGTTCTTCATTGCCCTAATTACAGCAAACAGTTCATTTGGAATCTGTTTTCAGAAATGTCTTTAATTCCTGATTGAGCCGCTGGTACTATTTACTGGGGCTTAATAGCATACTTCTGTTTTAATTGTTTCATTTTATAAAGTGGAAGACTAGAGCCTGCAAGGTGGAGCACACCTGTAGCCCCAGCTTCTAGCAAGGCTGAGGCAGGGGGATTACTTGAGTCCAGGAGTTCAGGGCCAGCCTGGCTGCATAGTTCAAGGCCAACCTGAAGCGCCTCTGGACCCTATCTCAAAAGAATTTTTTTTGGATGAAAAATCACTGAGCTATTGGTCATTTTATTTATTCTTCTCTGGACTTTTTCTAGCTACATTGTCTTCCTTGAGACAAGAAGTGAATGCAGTATTCCCGATGTGGCTGCACTGTGATTTTGTACAAGTGTAAGATGCTTTCTTTTTAGTTTCCAGGGCTCTTTCTAAACCTTTTATGACCATGTTACTTTGGGGGATCATTTTGACATCCTTTGATACTTTCTCTCTGGCTCCCATGAGTAAAGAAAAAATAATCTTTTATATGATTCTTCTCATTAGTTGTAGATGAGTGAGCCTCAGAAAAGAGAACTCTTTCTTTTCCCTTGTTCATTTTCTGAAGCAGAGGATTCTCACGGAGTGGAGAGATGAGAGAGGTTTCTCTGTGAGCTCTCCTCGCAAGCTGGCCCCATAACCCAGATTGTGGTGCCGAGCTTGGTAGAGTGTAGAGCACGGCAGCAGATGTAAAGGGCAGTTTGAAGACATGGCTGCTAAATCCAGCTCTGTCGTGGGCCCTGAGCAGGTTATCTACCCTGCGGTTTCGCTTTCTCCATCTTTCAGTGAACTTCATAAGACCTGTTCTACTTGCCTACCAGGGCTGTTGTGTGAATATAAGACAATAGACATGAAAATACTTTGGAAAGTTAAAATGGCTGGGGAAATACGCGCTGTCATTTCACCTATTACAGGTTTCATTGGTGAGACTCTTGGGGGAGAATTAAACGATTATGTCCAAGCCTTGAGACTGCTGCTGTCTTAGTAGCTGTCTCTAGGCAGCAATTCTAGCTTTAGGTCTAGTTCTCTTGCCCTTTTTCAGATTCTCTGGGACCTGTGTTCTCTGTTCCTTGGCTATCAGAAAGAGCTGTGGGGCCGTTTCTGAGTTATTTGTGTGGGACACGTTTGTTTGGACAGTGGTTCTTAAATTTGGCTGCCATTAGCATTGACACCTGGGTCCTACCTCCAGAGCTTCTGGTATAATTGGAAGAGGGTAAGCTTCCCTATTGTGATTTTAAAGCTCCCTGTGGAGATGTGTGCAACAAAGTGTCAGAACCACTGTTAGTCACAGCCCTGAGGAAAACCACAGAACATTGTGCTGCCTGAGACAAATGCCTCTTGACTCAGTGTGACCTTAGCTGGCTCTGCTGTCTTCCCAGTGGCTTCATAGCTACCTGATGGCTACGGGGCAGCTTTCTGCCACTGAGCTTCACCTTGCCGTGAAATACAAATGAAACAGCAGGAAGATAAAGCCCCAAGATGACAAGACAGGGACTGGGCTCATCAGAGGAGGCTAAGCTGTTGGAACTCTCCAGGTTCCTTGCTGAAAGCAGAAGCACCCAGCCCCCTTCCATTTTGATTTTGTATTCCTAATGCTTTTGGAAAATATCCCAGAAATTCAAAATGAAAAGCAAAAATGATCAAGCAGTATATTTCCAAAGAGCCGGAACAATCTATTTGGAGAGTCTTTGGCTGAACCCAGCTGCTCTGTCTGCTTCTTACCTTCTTTCTTCACAGTGGACTTTAACCAGGGGTCTCCCTAAATCTCTTTAAAATGGTTAAACTATTCAGAGCGCGTGGCCACTTGCCTCCTCCTCTGGTTTTACAAGGTCTTGATACACAATTCACAAACGAGAAATCGTCTGATTAGTACCCACCTCCTGATATCTCAGCGGAGGTTATTCCCGCTGTGAGCATGGTGTTTGCCTCTGGACTGTGCTTCCTGGCCTTGGCATTGAGGGTCTGGGGCACTGTGACATGCCCTTCTTGGGAGAACTCACACCCGCCCCTCACCTGGGCAGAGGGCCAGGTCCAGTGAATTAGAGCTGTTTATAGTATCCACTAGTTATTCCTGGAAACCCGTGGCATAATGGCATAGCTTTTGTTACTGTTTTTTAAGAATAAGGCTTTGACCTTTCTTTAAATCCTAGCTTTTTAGAGTTGCTGGCAGAGCAGTGACCTTAAATTGCAGATGAGGGTTAATCCAGCTGCGTGTATGAGGAGACTGAGACTCTTCTCTGGATAGCTGTAGGATCATGGTGGTCTCTCCTGCCTTTTCCAGCTGAGGAGTACTGTTGTGTTTCTGCAGAGAGATGTTGAAAATAATTGGGCTTTTTATTCACTTTTCATGGTAAATGTCATAAGTGGTTGAATGGCTCAATCTGTTTAATATTATGACCGAACAATTCACAAATCAGGTTTCAGTTTAAAGGCTCAGCCTTAAGCCTGCATTTATGTTTTCCGAGTCTGTAGGGAGCCACTGAAGGCTTGAGGGGTTTGCTTTCCTGCTCCTTGTTGACCCCGGTGTCTGTTTCACTGCAGCCATGTTTCCTGAGAGACTGGGAGTTGCAGGTGCACTTCAAAATCCACGGCCAGGGCAAGAAGAACCTGCATGGTGACGGCCTTGCAATCTGGTACACAAAGGATCGGATGCAGCCAGGTACTGGAGACCCTGGGTTGCTCATGTGTGTGTGGAGGGGTGGGCCTGCTTTGTTCTGTGCCCTCTTAAGGAGAAGGGTTTTCCCTCCCCCTGACATCTGTCGATGAACACGGCCTGTCTAGTCTCTAGCGTGGGGTCTGAGCCCAGCCGAGCGTGACTCACATGAGCGATTTCCTGCTTATTAGTTCCTCCCAAGTTTCCCCGTGAAACTTGGCCTGGCGGCTGGGCCCTGGCTCTCCCAGACACCGCCGGTTGGTGAGCTGGTTTCTTCTGGACACATCCAGTGAGTAGTCTCAGCACTGTGAGTGAGAGAAGAGTTACGTATTTTCCCTTGTGTGGGGACCTTGCTCTGGGTAGATGTCAGGCTCAACCTGATTTGACCTGCTATCTTTTGCAGCAAGAAGTAGAACTTGGGAATTCAGTTTTCTCTTGGGAACACGATCTGCACCGAGTGTTTGTGAAGCATAATTCTGCGGGGGTTCCTTAGCAGCCGTTAGGGTCAGGGAGATGCGGTAGTGCTAACCAGGATTGCAGTGGCCTTCTCTCTTTCCCTGCCTTCCACAGCAAATAACTCCAGCTATTGCCCAGGCCCTGGTTACAGGCCTCATACTTTGCCAGGTGCATTTACCTGTGTGTTCTCGTCTTAAGGAGGCCTGGGAGTCATTGAATCTCTCCTTTCCTTCAACGAGGGAGCTGTTATTCTTTTGTCAACTCTTGGCTTTATCTCATTGTTCATCTGTTCTTTCTCTCTAGGGCCTGTGTTTGGAAACATGGACAAATTTGTGGGGCTGGGAGTATTTGTAGACACCTACCCCAATGAGGAGAAGCAGCAAGAGGTAATGGCAAGTGTCAGAGACGTAGGTCAGGTGCTCCAATGTCACGGTTCTTTCCCTCAGGAGTGGTACACAGGAGGGGACAGAGGGGACAGCTAGTGAGGGGTCTTCATCCACTGAACTTTAAAAGCTTAGTGTCCTTGCCAGTTGTTTTTCTAGAACTATTTATGATTGCACAGCCCTTTGGGAAAAGCTGTCATGAGCAGGTGCTTTTTCTTTAGTGTCAACAATGTTCTGTCTCATGCAAGTTCCGTCACGGTAGAAATTGAGCAGAGGTGGCCAGTTGGTGACCTAGAGCAGCATGAGAGCAAGCTGCATCGGTGTCACTCAGCTCCCCCACTCTGACTCCATCATGGCTCTGTGCTCTTCTGCAGCTTGCTCGCCCTTTCCAGCATCTTTTTCTTCTTGCTCTTATCCACCACGAACACCAGTTCTCCTTGCCTGTAGGCTCCCGGTAAAAGGAAGCTGATGAATCCTAGCATTCTCATGGGACCCAGGACCTGGCCATCGGCAGACCTTCTTGTGTTTTACGTGCGACTGTAATGATTCTTTACTATTTTCTTACACTGCCAGTAGGCAGTACTCTGTCGTATAACACTGCCATCCGATGGTGGTATAATTACTACGACAAGTTGTCACTGAGTGTCCTGTAGCTAAGTACGATTTCACAAGGAAGGTAGGACTAGGAATGAAGGCAGAGTTCACTTGATTTTTTTCCCCAAGATTTATTATGAAGAATTTAAGATCTGTAGAATGAGCATTGTATTCGCAGCCCCCCAGTGCAGTAGTTAACATTTCTCACGTGCGCAGGAGAGGAGCTGGGAGGGGAGGCCCAATTAGGAGAAGAACCTTTTGTTGTGAGTCAGTGAGAGTCGCTCCGCCCTGCTCCTTCTGGGTTTCTCTGTGCCTCACCAAGCACTGTGTAAGTGCCAGGCCCCGGGAATTATGTCTGTTGAACAAGATCAACATGAGCCCCCCTACTGCCATCCTAGTGTCATGGGGATGGGGGGTGGTGGGGCTCTGGGGCACTGTGGAGGACTCAGTCTGAGCATCTGGCCTCAGGGAGGTGGCAGTGTTGGTGGCAGGGGGGAGTGGGGAGGCGTCCTCGGGAAAGTAACATTTACGCTGAGGTCTGCGGGGTAAGGCTCTGGTGTTCGCTCTGGTGTTCATGCAGAGGAAACAGCGTGTGTAAAGGCGCTTGTGTGTGAGGAGGTAAAGGAGCACAGGCTAGGATGAGGCTAGGAAGAAGAGCAGGCTCAGCAGTCTTCTGTGCGCACAGTGCCAGGGCCGCTGTGCGCGTGCACTCTTCAGCACTGCCCTCCCCCCTCCTGGGCCTGTCCCCCAGCTTGGGCCCGAGTGGCTGGGGATTTAGCCCAGCACCTGCAGCCTGTGTGCGATGCCCACTCACCACACACAGTGTGGGGCCAGGTTCTGGAGGGTTTCATCCTGGTGAGGGTCTGGATGTGATCCTAAGGGGTGTGTGGGTGCACTGAGGGTTTTTAAAGGCCGGGAGAGTCTTGGCTAGGTTTGTAGTCACACCAAGGAGCCAGCGGTAGCTAGAAACACACCTGAGAAAATGTGGGCTTCAAAGCTTGAC